CCCGAAGATGAGAAACAACACGCCGCAACAATAGTTTGATGGTGTGAAAATCAATATGTGAGCGACAGGAGAGCAATTAAAGCTACGTTCACACTGCAGGCCTTACTGATCACTTCCGATTTGTTGTGAAATCTGATTTATTTTTTGACGTGGTCGTTCACATTTCCAAATATTCTTGACATGTATGTGTTCTCCAGTGTGAATCGCAAACGACCCGAAAGTGTCCCGCATGCGCAGTAGAGGGCGCAATAACGTCACACGTAGCGAGCGCTCCCAGTGTTTTGCCAACTGTCATAAAAAAAAAAGAAAAAAAAGACGTTCTTACCGTTTGTAGAAGTAAACATGGATGCTAATAGTGGAGCATATCTTACGATTTTAAAGTTGTCCGACTGGAGCCAGCACATTAAGAACTTAATCCTCATTACCGTCCCATGGTTGTTTTTCTCTTTTCTTTCCGCTTGCGCGAATCCAGGACGCAGAATAGTGACGTTTGTCGAGTATCAATGACGTTCCAAGTCGGATGAACGTAGACGTTAATATGCGCCCTGGCTGTTCAGGTCACATTTGATACTTATCGGATACCTATATCCTAGTAGACTGGGTCGTATTCGGAAAAAAAATCGGATCTGTGTTGTTCAGACTGTCAAAGATCAACTACACGTCGCTGTATGACAAAAAAAAAAAAAAAAAAAGTGAACGTAGTTTAGAGATCCAGAGCGGAACCAACGCTGCAGATCTGGTTGTGTTGGCCAGATTCCCAACTTTATCAGTAAATATACACACGCTGTTTTTCACTCCTCCTGCTGAGCATCACTGATAAGCTCCATATGAAAACCTGCCATATCCGGGCAGGTTTGTAAAACAAATATGTTTTACTGCAACTCAAGGTGCAGTAAAACATATTTGTCATGTGTTTTACCAGTTCTGGTAAAAAATAAATAAATAAAATCACTGGAACTGGTGATTTTTAAACCAGTGGCAGAAAAAGCAAGAAAACAACCTAATTTTTTTTTAAACTAATCCACATGGCAGAACTTTCAAAATGCAATATTTTTATTTACATGTCTTAAATACCACATTTAAATTTCTATCCATTTGATAACTTTCAGTGATAATTTGTTTTCTAAAAAAAACGAATCAGACAAGTTTGTCTACAACACACCTGGAATGAAGGCTGCATTCCTGTAAATGGCTGCAGAAGTCGCATGCAGCCTTCATTCATAAGTTATTTTCCTGTCATTTCAAGTTTAAAATACTTGTATTGACAGTTCCCCCAAAGCCGTTTTTCCATATTCAACTAACCAGAGTCAGCATGGTAGTTTATTTTAAAATAAAATGCAAAGAAATCACTGACTATTCAACAGGTTCCAATTGTATTTTGTAAGAAAAATATATGTAGTAATCCGTTTAAGAAAATTGTACCAAACTTCAAATCACTTCAGATTGACGAGATAATTGAACCATGATTTGATGGTAGTTTGCATTTCCCCCCCCCCCCCCCCCCCCTCGATTCACTTTATAATTTATCTTTTTATAAACCACAATGTAATTTAATGAAGTATA